ATAAAGCTCTTGTCCCGGCGATCGTGTCTCCTTCTTCAAGACTACTTCCTGGGACTCGGCTCTTCGCTTCTATTGGCAGGTAGCCTTATCCTAAATTTCAATGAGGTTTAGTGTTTAGATTAGGGGCTAGGGTTAGAGTTGGGATACGGGACTAGTTACCTCCCTCTGGAATTTAGTTCGAGCCCACCTGTAGCAAGTGGGACCCGTATCCACGTGTCTGATCGTCACTTGTAAATAATGTTCGGCAGAATGTATGAGTCAGTCTCCGCAGTTTCCAACAATTTGTATTAGATTCAAATTTCTTGAGAACGCGACCCGTACACAAACCCTGCCTCAAAATGTTTTGACCTAAATCATATGATCTCCTAACTTCGTTCACAACAACCATAGTTTCTACGCGATCATTGATTCAGCCCATCTCCAAATTTCGATGTACTACCATGATTATCTGAGGTTAGAGTGTCCTTGCCTTTCGTCATAATTAAGTGATGTGTTGTCATCATATGATAGCTTAAACGACCTTAAGCAGCCTGTTTGAGATAGCGGGTCCTCTCCGACACCTTTTCGCGAACGCCCAAAAGGTCACATGCGGTCTTTTTAAAATGCAATACGATAGTTCGGCCATCGCAAGCGATGAGGACCATCTCTGCCCCAGGGGCAGCATAGTGATCACTTGCGTGCGAATTTATCTTTTGGTGAAGCAGGCCACCTTATGCTTTATTTCCATAACCGCCGCAGTCCGATGGCAGGGCAAAGTCAAAATAAGAAGAGACGGGCGCGGACGCAGCGATCGGCAAAGCTAAATGGCCTGCCGATAGTTCGATCATCGTTTCCGACAATGTCCACCGTGTGCTCCACAGTAAGATGGGGCAGGGGCGGTGACTTGCGCGTGAAAAAGTTTATAGTGATAGTAGGCTTGCGCCGCCTCTACCGCACTCTCTCCTCCCCCACCTTGACCCGGTGTCGAGACAGAGTCAAGGAGAACGGAAGCAGGGGAGGGCGCAGTTGGATGGCACGGCCAAGTCTGCACCTTGTCGCCCAACTCCAAGCCCCCTGGTCCACACAGCAAATGACCGGGATTTTAACCAACTACAAAAGGGGCTGGCGCGACCGGAGCCGCACCTACGCATGGCTTCACACCTGGTTCGGATCCCGCGGAGTGGGAGTGCCATAGAGGCCACAGTAAGAAGGAGCCATAGCAGCCTGACTCTCAGACCACCAGTCGGCCACTCCACACAAACACTCGCACAACTAGGCAGACTGCGTGGACTGAGTTGGGGCGTTAGTCAGCAGTCTTCCAAACCACAGCGCTTGACGCGCCGTGATAGCCTCAGATTCGAATCACACATGAAACAAATAAGCAACACGGAGACGGAGCCTAGGCGCACACCTCCCACTTGCAGTATCCGGACTACATCAGCTGCTGTCTCTTCGTCCAACGCTGCCTCATCTTCCACGCCGACAGCTAACATTGACGGCACTCCCGGACCCCCACTAGTATCTTCCTCCTCCATTGCCTCAACGTCCGCTACGGCGGCACCTGTACCCACTACCACTGCACACAATCTTCGCACACCAACAAACATCAAACTCCCCACCGTCAACGCCGGCGGTGGGGACTCGATCCATACCTGTCCTCTTTGCGATCGCACCTTCGCCTCACACACCGGCCTGATCGTTCACCTGCGAATCCATCGCACGGAGACTGGCGAACTAGGGCCTGCAGCACCAACATGCACCAGACGCATCCGCCTCAACTGCCCTCACTGCACCCGCACATTCACCCACCCCGTGGGCCTATTAGGCCACATGCAAATTCACCTGCGGTATACAACCACTGGCTAAACTACGCCACCACATATTTCCCCGCCTACATCACACAACATCATCATCCACCAAAAGCATCCAACTGCTACTTCCCACACGAGTGGGATGTGTGCGCCTAGGCTCCGTCTCCATGTTGCTTCTTTGCTTCATGCGTGATTCGTGTCTGATGCTATGACGGCGCGTCAAGCGCTGTGGCTTGGAGGACTGCTGACTGACGCCCCAACTCAGTTCACGCACTCTTCCCAGTTGTGTGAGTGTTTGCGTGGAGTGGCGGACTGGTGGGCTGAGAGCCAGACTGCTATGGCTCCTCCTTAATGTGTTCTGTGGCACTCTCACGCATGGGAGATGTATGTCGCTCATACCCGTTGTGTAAGATTCTGCTGCTTGTGTTTTGGGAGCCAGGTCGTGCATGTGGCGCGCGTAGACAAGGTCACTAGACTATGTCAGCCACCGCGCCCATTCCCCGCAACTGCCAGCTGACTGGCTCGGACAGTGACTTGGGCCTAGGAATGGGAGGGGAGAGCGAGATCGACGGCTCAGCGCATTTTCCTCACTACAAACAATCTGACGCGCTTGAGGCTATCACAATGCGCTAAAAGCCGTGGCTTGAAAAGTTGCCAACTGATGGAACAACCTGGACCTCGCAGTCGGCTCCGTGTTGTGTGTGCTTGTGCGGAGTGGCCGACTGGTGGTCTGAGAGTCAGGCTGCTATGGCTCCTTCTTACTGTGGCCTCTATGGCACTCCCACTCCGCGGGATCCGAACCAGGTGTGAAGCCATGCGTAGGTGCGGCTCCGGTCGCGCCAGCCCCTTTTGTAGTTGGTTAAAATCCCGGTCATTTGCTGTGTGGACCAGGGGGCGTGGATTTGGGCGACAAGGTGCAGACTTGACCGTGCCATCCAACTGCGCCCTCCCCTGCTTCTGTTATCCTTGACTCTGTCTCGACACCGGGTCAAGGTGGGGGAGGAGAGAGTGCGGTAGATGCGTCGCAAACCCACTATCACTACAAACTTATTCACGCGCAAGTCACCGCCCCTGCCCCATCTTGCTGTGGAGCACACGGTGGACATCCTCAATGACGACTGTTAAACTGTCGTCTTCTGTGGTTTGGGTGTTGATGGGGGAAGATGTGGTGGTGTGACGTAGCCGGCGGTTTTCTGCGCCAGGTTTTCGTGAATGTGCATGTGTCCTAATAGGCCCACACGGTGGGCGAGCGTGCGGGTGCAGTGAGAGCAGTCGAGGCGGGCGCGCGAGCGTATGTTGGTACTCCAGGCACTGTTTCACCAGTCTCTGTCCGATGAACTCGCAAGTGACCGACCAGACCGTTCTTTTAGGTGAGTGTACGGGAACAGGTGGACAGCAAAATTCAGCGATATCAGTATCGGTTACGATGATGGTGGCGGTGACTGAACCGCTTGCGGTGAGTGCGGTAGGCGGCGGTGTGTGGGCTGGGCTAGACATAATGGACGTAAATGATTTGCTGAGTGTGTCGAGACTGCGGTGACTTCCGCTCTCATGGATGCCCATTTCACCTTGAAGGCCGCGCGGTGAGTGAATGTCCGGGGGCATTGTGGACCGTGGAGGCGGATGCGGCGTGTATATGTAGTGCCCGGAACATGCGCTGGCAGCGTGGGCAGGTGAGGGACGGTTGATTTTTGGCGTTGCGAGGCGGAGGTAGTTGATATCTACGTGCATCGCGTTTGCCTTTGGTGGCTGTGATACGGTTGCGCCTGTCATCACTGTTATCTTCCACGTAGGTCGGTCTCGTGTGAGGTCTTGCCAGTTTTCCGGGTTGATCTACAGGCAATTCGGGGAATACATTGAAATTTTCGTAGTCACAAAACCAAACAACATCGTATCGTGTCTTTAAGGTGTGATTATGTTCACGTCCGCCCACTGTTCTGCTTCCTTTAACTTTCAGCTTCAAGACTTTCATGTATGGACCCGCCAGTATCCGGCCAAGGAGCTTTTCCTACTGGAATTGTGTTGTGAAGCGGGAACCTACGTGAAAGAACTCGTACATGGAGACTTTGGTCGCACACAGCCCAACCTCTCCTCACTAATTGGATGTCAGGTGGATCTGCTTGCTCTTGATGTGGTCGCCGTGGAGCATGATTGGCCGCCTTGTCTGCCTGATCCCGGACTTTGAAACAGTTCAGAACGCCCCCTTGCCTGCGCTCTGGTCTCTAACACCTTGTTTATAAACTAATTATAAATCCATCTGCCTTATATGCAACTCGGGTAGGTGCCACACACAGTTTGCAGATGCGCCTTCATGTCATCTAACTGTCATTTGGGGGCTTAACCCTTTTCGATTACGAAGGGGTTACCGTTCTCAGTTTAGGCTTGGTCTCTCCGCCTCGTCTTCGTAGATGAGCGCCCATAATGATTCGGCTACTAGGAGCTTGCTTCGTGTGCTGTACTGCGGGGCATATGCTTGGGTCGGTACTCGCAGTTCGGTCGAGTTTCCTCTTTATTCTCCTCACTCTTCCCCATCCTTTGCTGTGTTATGCGTTCTCACTACAGTTTATGCAAAGCAACCACGGTCTTCGTGGAACATTCCTGTAAATTTTTCCTATCCAGATCCGTTGCGACCTAAGACCTGTGGAATAGCCATTCCCAACCATATATACCTAAGGGACATTGGGGCCTACCGCATGACATTGTCCTTTGCGGTGGACAGTCTGTTAGTCTAGCTAGGGACTATCGGGCGCATCCATAGCTGAAAGACAGTAGAACGCCCTTCATCCAAGGCTGGTTGTGAAATAAGCAAACCCTAGACTTTCGCCAATAAGCGGTCGCGGACCAGGTGCCGGTACTAACTTTAGGCGTGATTTGGCCAAGATATTTCAATTAGGATACATGAAAGAAATTCACCAGCCATAATTTTATTACGACCCTTCGAATGTTGACCACCGACGAGTAAACTTTTTCACTGTCCTAAAAAACTCTAGAATTGCAAACTTGTGTCGCCTGGGTGAAGAGTCGTCTACCTTCGAATCCAAATAAACCTAGGAAACTATCCGACAGTCCACCTGCCGATGCCAACGCTGTCCAACGTGTGCTACAGAGCTAGGTGCAGCAGACACGGCGACTTGCGCGTGGATTAGCTCGTAGTGATAGTAGACTTGCGCAGCATCTATCGCACGCTCCCTCCTCCAAAAAGTGTACCCGGAGCCAAGACAGAGTGAACAAGACCGGAAACCGGAAACAAGACCAAACTGCACACTTCAATGCTTATATTATAAATATCGTCCTTTTAAAAACTTTTGCGATTATTTTGCCTTGGAACTCAAGGTTTATTCAACTTTAAACAAACTCGCAATTCGCGACCTTTTGGCTTAACAGACCTCCAA